CTCAAGCTTCATTGGTCTCTTGCAGTGCATTTTACGTATGTATGTGTATGTGTGGGCGCAGCCATTATTTCGAAACAAACGACTAACGACCCGCCGCTGAGCGCCGATTGGACGAATTACGGAAATCGGCGTACGTGTATCTACATCATTTCAATGTGTTAGTGTAAATATATATATATGTATGTTGATTATTAAGGGAGGATACGACGTCGGCGCCAGGGTTGGAATAATTAGCCTCGTATGAATGAAGCTTTAATTGGCCCAACCCCATACTCGCGCGTTTTACTCCATATATAACATAACTCGAAAAGCTTCAGGGCTTTCGGAAACCCTTTGACTTGGAGAAGACAAAGTGCCAACGAGGAGGGTTCTCTCTCTCTTTCTCTCTCTTCCTCTCAATGTGTCTTTCATTTCTCGTCAGATATTATTAGCATTGTTAACCAACTAACTTGTGCTCTATTACCCCTTGGAATCGTGATCCTTCACGCGGGATCGCGATCCATTCAACCCTTTTAGTCATTTGCCCGCGGGCCATTTTCACGATTTCGCCACCCCTTTTTAGCGTCTTAATTGGCGCACTAGAATTGTATAATGTGGGTGATCCTGTCAAGTGATCCTTCAACCCTTGCTTTGCTTTTTCAACAACACGTATATGATAAAACAAATTTTAGGTTATGTTGACAATTTTTAAAGTGTAGAAATTTCCCTACCAGGGCCCTAGTAGGGAAGGAAACACCACACCTGATTAGGGTCAAATTAGGGCGATCAGAAAATGTGGATTTCCTAATCAGGCGCGGCGTTTCATTCCCTAATAGGGCAGTCTGATCCAGCCCCGATCTTGGTCCTGGCAGAATTTATACACGGGACTCTTAATATGTGACGCTCCGAAGGGACCTACCTCCGAAATAATATTAGGCTTAGTTTTCATGTACGGTGCACGGAAAACTGAGCCTAATGTTATTTCGAAGATAGGTCCTTTCTCTCGTGGAGCGAAAACATTTATTAAAAATAATAATAGAAAAACTTTCTTGGGAAAAAAATTAAAGGTAGCAAATTGACTTGATTGAGAAATAAAAGAAAATGCAAATTGAATAAAAAGGGGAAAAAACTCCTTTTCCTCTCGAATGCATTAATCGAATAGAAAAAATAAGGATTATATACACCATCATAGTGAAATAAATATCGAAAGCAGAAGTTGAGAACAAATATGTCAGTGAAAAATAAATCTTACAGAAAACGGGAGGTGGAGGGGGGGAGGCGGTTTCTATATATGTAAGATTTCGTTGGAAGGTGTGTAACTGTGTATAGGACATAGTTTGAAAAGGACGAAAGCACCAGGCAGGCAGGGCAAGACGAGTCTCGGGTTGACGTTTCATTCCCGGCCAACTCCCGCACTATGCATACTAACTAGGTTGCTACGTTAGCTATACTCTTCCGACGTGCTGTTTGCGGCTTGATCCTTGGGGGACAAGGGAAGAAAAGAGACAGTAATAGTAGAAAGTCAGAAAAAAAGAAGAAGAAGAAGAAGAAAAAAAAAACTTGGAAACGAAAAAGAAAAATAAATATCAAGGCAAAATCGAGCTCTATAATTCCTTATATACCTAGCGAACCAACGTCTCGAGCAGGTCCAACAACCCTTCAAGACCTCAGGGATGCTGGTCAATTCTCTACTTTCAGATAAAGCCAACAGATGCTGCCAGCATCCATTTTTTTTCTCCCCACAGTATATATTTATTAAATATTCAATTGTATCGAAATTTCCATCGTTGAATGCAAAATATTTCAAATTGCCGAGAGTATAAGAAGCAAAGATAAAAAAAAAGAAGTAAAATAAAAAAATAAGTAAAAAAAAAAATAAAGAAACAAAAAAAAATAATTAGTGTTTCAAGAACCAAAATAATAAAAAAATTAATACAATGAGAGAACAATTGGATTTCGTTACTAAGAATATTTCAGCTAATTTATATTAGTAACTGATACCATTTAGTTAAACATTTATATAAGGCAACTAAATAGTTGTTCCAACAAAGTAATTAGTTAAACCGGCTAATAAAATAGTTATGCCAAAATAGTAACTACAACTAATCAAACCATACTATTGCTAATTTATTAGTTGTTACTATTTTTATTCGATGGCATAACTATTTTATTAGCCGGTTTAACTAATTAGTTTGTTGTAATAACTATTTACTTATAAATGGTTAGGCTAACTAACTAAATGATAACAGTTACTAAAATAAATTAGCAAAAATACTCTCAACGAAATGGTAATTCAATTGTTTCTCGTGAGCGAAATATTTAAATTAATACCAAATTATTAAAATGTAAAATAAAAGAAAATAAATTGGTATTGAAATGTAAAAAAAACAGTAAATAGAATATTTTGATAAACAAAATTTCGAAGACAACCGTTGATTCTCGACAACAAGGATAATATGAATGACATAAATGCATATAGAAGAGCATATAGAGGACTCTCATATAAAGCATATAAGCTTTGAAAACGATGGTAGTCACGAAATCGAAGGGGGGACGTGAAATTTAGATAGCCTACCTAGGTCTATTTTTAAATGGTTTCCCATTACCCATGGCAACTATCTTCAACTACAGATCTAAACCATTTATTTTGGTCTAGTCTTGTTTTTTTTTTCTTTTTTTTTTTTTGCAGCCCTTCACAGTCTACCTGGGATTTTATTTGCTTTTATTCCAATGTAATTGTTGGGGCCAGTCACCACTATCGCCACTGTCTTCAAATGTCTAACTATCCACTTGGGTTGAATGTTTCTGAGCCACGCGACCCTTTTATATATATATATATATATATATACACGACGAATCATACAATCCAGTCAGCGAGGCCCTCTCTATTCTTTTTCTCTCTCTCTATATATATACATAGCTATCCTTCTTTCGCTGCTAGCTCATCCTCGTTCTCGTTTTGCGAGGACGACGTCTCGACGACTGATTCTCCTCTCCACGGCGACGCGAAATCTTTTTATTTTCTTTTCTACTTCGCTTTTTTTTCTTCTTTTTCTCTTTTTTTTTTGTCTCCTGAAGCGAAAAATAGAGGCGTCGCTTTCCACGGAAATCAGGGAGAATTCTCTCGAAACGATCTTACTGATTTTTTCGTTTTTTTTTTTTTTCTAGACTCTGTGGTGTGTATCGTTCTACATCTCGATGAATTGTTTCCGAAGTACTGTGATTCCTCTTCTTTTTTTGTAATAGAGCCACTTAAACGTAGTAGCGAATTGAAAACGGGGGTTTTTTTTTTAAAGTAAAACGAGTCTAGGGAAAATATTCCTTTAATTGATAGAAAAAAGAATTTCTTTTTTTTTTAGAAAAACAATAACATTCAATTTTTATAATAAATAGTGGGCTGGAGTTTAAAAATTGTAAATTAAATCTAAAATATTCAATTAAAAAACTTATTTTGATTTTACATAATTGAAAATAAACGTTTAATTAAGGTAAAACTATCATTAAACATAATCTAAAATTTAGTTTATCGTAAGGTTCCTTTCACCATGTCGGCACACCTGATGACAACCCACGTTAGCTTGCAGCAAGCTTGTCACGCAATATTGCCAACCTTGCACGGCAAGCTTGCAGCAAGCTTTAAATGTCCTACCTCACACAAGCTTGCACAGTAATATTATCGCAAGATTGCATAGTAAGCTTACCGAAAAATTGCAGTGTAAGGTTACTGCAAGATTGCATGATAAAATTATCGCAAGCTTGCATAGTAAGCTTACCGAAAGATTGCAGTATAAGGTTACTGCAAGACTGTATGATAAGATTATCGCGGTAAGCTTGTGGCAAGCTTTAAATGTCCTACCTCACACAAGCTTGCACAGTAAGATTATCGCAATATTGCATAGTAAGCTTACCGAAAGATTGCAGTGTAAGGTTACTGCAAGATTACATGATAAGATTATCGCAAGCTTGCATAGTAAGCTTGCGCGGTAAGCTTGTGGCAAGGTTGGTGCAACCTTCTGTGCTGATTGGCAAGGTTATTTGGCAACTTTGCACCAACCTTGCGACAAGCTTACCGTGCAAGCTTACTGAGCAATCTTGCGATAATCTTACTGTGCAATTTTGCAGTAACCTTACACTGCAATCTTTCGGCAAGTTTACCATGCAAGCTTGGGTTAGGTGGGACATTTCAATCTTGCCGCAAGGTTGCTGCAAGCTTACATGCTATCTGGGAAACGAGAGGAACTGCAAGGACATTTTTGTCTGCAATTTAACTAAATTTCCCGGACAAGTTTTCTATTTTTTTCATCTTGTTTTGAGTGTACGCCTAGAATTAATGAAAATAGGAACCCTCTCTCACTCTCTCTCTCTCTGGAAACAGCGCGTAGGCAACAGTAATAATCGCAATAATCGCAATGGCAATCCGGTGCCGAGCCAATTTGAATATGAATCCGAGTGCGAACAATGTCATTGGGGGGTTTATACGTGACGTATCTCCCCCACGGATCGCGACCAGTACTTGCTAACTGTCCGGACTGTTAGTTAGTTAACTAGCCCGACAGGGTGACAGTCACGTAGACCGTTGTGGAGTGAGAGAGAGAGAGAATTGGAGAGAGAGGGACAGGAAGTGTAAAACGACAGAGGGACCAGACCGAGACACGAGATTCCGAGCATTTGAATCCGGAACTCTCATCAGAATCAGCGTTCGCTACGTTTAACCCGATAATTAAACTCAGAAGCGTCCCCAAGTCCGTTACACCAAGAGAGAGAGAGAGAGAAAGCGGCACTTCGACGAGGGAAATCGTGCGGTCCAAAATTTGCATTCGCAGATTTCATTCAAAGTAACGAATCACCATCGTATATACGGTACGGATCTATAAGTTTCATGTTTCTGATTTCGGACACTCATCCCTATAACCCTTCTATAAATTTGATTCCAACAATTTCATTCGCACGAAATGAAATTGTCCATTCGAGTTTGCATCCAAGTTAATTAAATTCATGGAAAAAAAATAATAATGACTCACCATTTTGCGTTTTCAGGCCTCATCGTTACCAGAGATCTGAAAAAAAAATTTTTCATTTACTACAACAAAGAATTAACAAAAAAAAAACTTAAATATGTAAAAGTGCAAACTGGGTCTGTGAGACCTTTTCAAATTTCTATACTGATCGGATCAATATTAATATAGAAACCATACACAAAGAGTTAAGAAAAAATTAAAATTTTCTAAAGATCTAAATATATTTTGAATACAATACAAAAAAAAAGTAACGAATCTTTTATCACCGCTTAAGTAATTTTCGAACAAAACCGCGCAGGTAACCTTAGGTTCATATTATATATTCATTTTTCAAATATCTTGTATGTTAAATATTTATGTTTCTTTCTTCTTTATGGAAAGAAAAAAATTAGACTTTTTGATTTCTCTATAATATGAATGATTATAAAAATTTTCTTTTGTAATAAGTTTTAAATATATATATTTTTCTTTATGCTCAACGTTTCCTTTATTTTCCCAAAAATTATTCCATTGGGACACAATAAAAGACAATGGAAATATTTTTAGAAAATGAATATGCTTTTCATATAGAAAGCGAAATAGAATTAAAAAACAGGCACCAAATTTTCTTCATCTGGTGAAAAAATTTTGATGAATATTCTTTGAATATATTTTTAATACAGAATATATATAATTTTCATTGAGACAACTATAATTTTAGTTTTATTTTAATATTTTATTCTTGAGAAAAAAATGGAAGTCAAAATTTTAAAAATTTAAAGTTTTATTTGTTTTAAATTAAAAAATTTGTTTAGCACAAATAAAATTTTATTTAGCGAAAATAAAAATTTATTTGTATCAAATAAATATTTATTTGGCTCTGAGAAAAATTAATTTCTCTGAGTGTGAATGTAATTTCATTTCTGTATAAATTAATCAAACAAATTTTCTTTTTTCTTTATTTAGAAAAATTGTAGCAACGTTTGCTTTGAAAAAAAAGGAAAATTTAATTTATTCAACCTTCTGGTCCAGAGAGAAAGAGAGAGAGAGTGAAACTCGAGGGCATATAAAATATGTAAAGAAGCTAATGTGAGGTCAGGCAGCGGGAGAATTAGTAACGAGAAGATATATAATAGCCATGACGAGGGACGTTGAGGACAGCAATAACAATGAGTAGCAAAAGCAAGATAAAGAGAGATGGAACAAGTTTGCGATGGATTAATGTAGCGCGAATCGTCCCAATTAAAAATCCAATTAAAGAAAGTATAGGAAGAAGGAGAGTAGAGCGCGCGTACCAATGCCAAATGTAAGAGCGTTAAGATTTAAATGAGAACTCTTGGAATCAAAATCACTTCCGCCCGATAAAGCCGGCGTTCATTTGTTAACTGCCCCTTCAAGGACCTTCGTTTCTTTCTTATTTTTTTTTTTTCCCCTCCTTCTCATTCACGTCCTTTCCTTTCCTCTCCTCTCCTCTTTTCTCTACTGCAGCTTCTCGCCGTTAATTCCCCACGGCCAGGCGTTAGTTTTATCGCTCGTCATTTTTTTAAGTGCAAATGAGTTCCCAGCGGGTCCCACTCACCCCCTCCTCCTCCTTCTTTCCAACCACGGGTTTTTCGCGCTACGCTCTCGGGGAATGGAATCCGTCCTTTATTTCTTTAATTTAAAAACGGAACGATTCCACCGGGGGTGGCATCGCGGATTAAAAACTCTGTCTCGAGACTGATACCTCGACTTACCTCTTAGACAGTTGTGTGTGTATATATGCTTCAACGGAAACCAATTTATCTTCTATCTCTCTCTCTCTCGAAAAAAAATCGAGCTTTCGATTCATTTGAATTAATTGTTGACGTGAGAATGAAATTCAAGATTAAAATTTAATAAGCTTTTTATTGAAAATTTCTTCTTTAATAAGTCTGATTTCTATTTGACAAAAAAACGTCGAAAACTGACGGGGTGGAATTCTATTCTTCTTTTTCTTCAAGGTAATAAAGTAAAAAAAAAAAAAAATTTTTCTTGTCACACGAGAAATAATCTTAAAGAGATTTTAAAAATGTAAATATAAATATAAAGCAGGTGAAAAATACATACAGACAGAGGAAAGGTTTTTTTTTTTAAATACTTCACGGTTCAAAGATTTATTTATTAATGCTGTCCATAAGGGTGAACTCGATCTTTGTTTGCGCTTCGTCATCTATTAGTGGCGCATAGTATATAATGACAGGTAACATTAGTCAGTAATTACCAAAATAACGTGCATACCATAACGGATGTTTCATTCGTCTATACCACCATTAAACAATATAATTGCCTACATCCTGTCTGGCTTTCCGTTATGCTTATATATATACTCATAAGATATCACTCGACGCTCCCACCAATCTAGAATCGCACAATTTCTACTTCCCCAATTCTTATTTAACTTTATTTTTTTGCTATTCTTTTTATTAATTCAGTCCAATTATATTTATGTGACACGCTGAAAGGGATCTTAACTTCAAACAAATTTTAGGTTATGTCAGTGGTTTTTAAAAAAACACAAACATAACCTAAAATTTTTTTCCAGCTAAGGTCGTCCTTTTCACCGTGAAGCGCAAAATATAAAAGTTTTTTTCAGTAGGCCGATTCCATTTCAATTCAGACAGGCTATGTTTCTGTAACTCATGTTATCGTTTCCTATGAAAATATATTATTTTTCACACAATTTTAGACGACACGTGTTTTGCCGTTTTACCAAAAAAAAATTATTTAACGAAGTTAGGCGCATTTGAATTTTTATAACTGCAAAGTCAAGATTTCAAAAAAATGACGATAAAATATTTTTAAATTATTGTATCTTTTATGCAAATGCATATAATTTAATGATTCTTTTTGCTCCTAATTCTGGATTAAACGTTCTTTTAAATCCCGCATGTTAAATTAAAAAATATTAAAATTTAACAAAATGGCGGCGATTTTTCGAAAAAAATTAAAATCAAATTTTCTCAAAAACCCCAGCGTTTTTTTTTCTTCTTGATTTTTTTTATTGCTTTCTGGAATGCTAATGATTATTTTCCAAAAGAATTTATTGAGGTCCTGCGTCTTGAGAAAGAGTAAAAAATTTTTTTCTTATATTTTTTTTTAATTTGTTGCTATTAGATTTATGCTACCTTTATTTCTTCGTTAGTGTTTTATTTCTAGACGTTTTGTCTTTTGAATTGTCATTTCTGAAAAACTGACACAAGAAAGTATTAATAGAAATAATTGACAAATTATTCCATATGCCACATAGCCTGGCGGTAACGTCCTCGACTCGCGATTCAAAGTCATATGGGGTTCGATTCCCGGTGGAAGACAATTTTTATACTATTTAAAATTCCTTATCAGTTTTTATAAATGTAAAATTTATATTTACTAGAACACAAATATTTTAACGATTTTTTTTAAAAACCCTTTTAATTATTTAAATATATCAAAATTTTCTTGGGGCGAATGAGAATCGAATTGGTGCATAGAAATACTCCCAAGTACAAGTGGCATGTTCGTTATTAGACATTCCTGTGTTACCGACTGAGGTATCTTTGTTCGTATCGTATTCGCGACCACACTGGACTTCTCTCCCCTCTCTCTCTCTCTCTCTCTCTCTCTCTCTTTCTCTGCCTAATCGGTTGTGAACGTGCCCCCTTTGTGTTTGGCCCTCGAGATATTGCTTCGTTGTTTAATTTCGTGGCGGGCACCTCCTTTGTTTCGAACGTTTCAATTTAAATCGATGCGATGCCCATGCCACACGGCACAACCGATTCTTGTATATAGAGAGGAAGAGGGGGTTGAATTTAAGAGTGGGGGAAGAATCGGGCGCCGATCCGTTATTAATTAGATTGGCGGGCTGACGGGAGGAAAGAGCGCGTAACTGTAAGAGCTGAAGTTGAAAAGGCCGGCCATCAGATCCGATCGTTTCTCTCAGTTTCAGGAATTCCGGGGCCCCTCCGGGCGGCCCGGGCCACGGTTCCAGATCTGGCGAAATTCGATGAAATTAATTGCCGTACCGTGCCATCCGTCGAAGGTCGATTCTTTTTTTTATTTTTAATCAGAATCCTTTGATCCTGAATGTTTCGGTCCGCGCATAAATGGGGCTTTTATCGACAGATTATGTAATATCTCTTTTCTATTCTTTTGATTTTGCATTCTCCGTTTGGCAGATGCTCTAGAAAACGGTCGGAAATAATCAGTAATTACAGTATGTGTTTGATTAATTTGCCAATTTCGAGAAAAATCAAAAAAATATGCATAATTTGTTAATATTGATTCTAGTCCAGTGGTAACGGTCTCGACTTGCCAGTCAATCTCAAAGGGTTCGAATCCCGAGAGAGTTGAATTTTTTCTACGATAAAAACTAGTTTAAATTGTCATATCTATTAATAAATTTTCACTAAATAATACTACAATAAATAATAGTGAAAATAATAATTCGAAATATATAAATAAATTATTAGTGTCATGTGATTTAGGCAAAGAATGATTAAAAAAAAAAAGGGAAAAACTCGTCAGGACGCGACGACGATGACGCTTGAAGGAAAAAAAACTATTTCTAATGAAGCGCGACGACTTCTTCTTCATTAAACTTGGTCGTGTGTGTCTGTGTGTAAAAAAAACGCGTCTTACTACAACGTGTTAGCGGCGAATCGAATCGGTCCAGCCCCATAATATATATATATATATATAGTGTTAAAGAGGTCCCCGAGAGTCACAAGAATCGACCTTCGTTATGCTACTTTTTTACTCCACGCTGCCAAACATCAGTGCTAATTAAGTATTTGTTATCACACTCACGAATTATTGGAACTACATTCCGCCAATGTGTTCATTGATCAACACAACTCGTGTGAGAAAAAAAAATCATTAACACAACAATTTTTATTTTCAATCCAATTTAAATTCATTTTTATATAAACGTTAAATTAATTTAACAATAAATAATAAATTTCTCAGTGAAGACAAAAAACTCAAAAATTTAAGGAAAAATTGAATATATTTTCTCCAAGTTTCAAAATATATTTTGAAGAAAAAAATTTCTAATTTAAAAA